TCTAGGTATCGTGGTAGAATAGTATCTATTTACTATTTGGTAGCCATGATTTACTTTAACCTTGTTGATTTGTTAGCTCTGTAGAAATAAAAAAATTTAAGTACCTTGGATTTAAAATATTAAATATATTAAATATATATTTACTTTTAAAAATTGGGACTGTAAGAATAGACATTTTATATTGTGACAAATAGAGACCAGTTAGTGTCCTGAAATAAATTTTTAAGTTGAAGCTTGAGAACAAAAAAATGGAGCTCCCAATTTGGAGAAAATTGCTAGGAGAAATTATTTTACCTTAATATCATGTTAAGTTAGGGTAAGTATAATAAATTATAGGCATATAGGTTGATTATTAAATATAAAAGCAAATGTAGGGATGCCTGGGAGGCTCAGTCAAAGCATCTGACTCTTGATTTCAACTCAGGTCATGATCTCAGGGTCATTAGATCGAGCCCCGAGTTAGGCTCTGCACTCAGCGGGGGGTCTGCTTGAGATTCTCTCTCTCTCTCTCTCTCCTTCTCCCTCCGCCCCTTCCCACTGCGCCCCTCCCTCTCAGATCTTTAAAATCAACTAATAAATAAAAGCAAATGTATAGGTTTGTCCGTAGAACAGAATAATTACTACCAAAAGTATTCTCATTTGTGGCATAGCACTAGAAAATAGTTTGCTATTAGAGTAGCTGCTGTTTTTTTACTTGAATGATTTTTGGCACAGTCTTAAATATAAGTTGTGGTCTAAAATGTTTAAAACAAAGAATTTTGATTTCCTGTACATTTTACTAATGAAAAGTTTCACTTTGTGTTTTCTCCACTAAATGATTTCTTATCAGTGGTTAATGCTCTTCAGACCAAGTTGTTCATAATGTCATGTTTTTAGAAACATCATTAATATTCAACTTGAAACCTAGAGCTCTTCCCAAAGAATAATATAAAAGCAAGTCATCACATTCTGGCATTTTTTTCCAGCTATTTTTGCTTGATTTCTGCTCTCCTGTCTCTTTGCTTAACTAGTCTTGAATAATGTGCTAGTTTCTCAGTTGGGATAGATGATAGTATTATATGGTCATAATTTGCCGACTATTTTCTGTGATGCTTAAGATTCTCTATCTTGTTTGTTGTTGTACCTTATTTTGTTAGTTCTGGCTTGACATCTCAGTCAGGCTTTGTGCTCATCTCTGCATGGGTGAGAATTAGAACAGGCAACACATAAATGATGAGCTAACAGGTGGAAATGGTGTCAAAGACTGCCACATATTGAAGCAGAACCCTGAGGAAAATGTCAGAATTCAGTATTTGGAAAAAATCTGAGTTCTGCCATCTGTCTGGATTTATTTAAGTTTGCAGGCAAACTGTTATCTTAGCATATTTTACATGCCAGGTTAATTGACCTAGTCACATACACTTGTGTTAAAGCCAATGTGTGTCTAGTATAGATACTCATATTTTAATTCGAGAGGAGAAATAATGGGAAGGATAAGTTAAGCTAATGATATAACAGAGAGCCCAAAATAACAGTAGTTGAAACACGACAGATGTTTGTTCTAAACTGTCTCTCATGAAATGATGGGGCTAGGCACTCCAGAACTGTTAGTGCAGAGGGATCTGGGCTTCTTCCAGCCCAGCATGCTGCCATTCCTGGGGTATGGCCCTCATCTTCATGGCTGTGGGTGATGGTGGATGGGCCTGGCAACTGGGAGACTCCTAGAATTTGCCCCCCAACACTTCTCCTTATACCTGTTGGCCAGTACTCAGTCATGTGGCTGCAAAGGAACTGGAAAATGCAGGCTTCACTAAAGTAACATGTCCTACAAGTTCATTGGTTCTATTTTTAAGAAGGAGAGAAAAAGGATACTGGAGAACAAGAAGTTTAACTCCCAGAAGTTAAATCTGCTTATATAATCTTATGTATTAAAATGATAAATATGTGCTTTGATTTTGATTATTAGGTTTTGGGACCCATATGACCTCCCTCCATTGGCATAGATAATTGAGGAAGCTGTGATTATGTTTGGGGTTCATGTTCTTTTAAAATCCCTTCTTCCTTTTAAGAGTTTTAGAAAAATTATTTGTAATGCCTTGAAAGTTAATATTTGGTAATCCTTACAGTAATAGGCATTGCCAAAACTTATGATTTGATGTTTGAAATGTTTATGAAATTAAAGGGTGGTTCAACATTCGCAAATCAATCAATGTGATAGAACACATTAATAAGAGGAGGGAGAAGAACCATATGGTCCTCTCAACTGATGCAGAAAAAGCATTTGACAAAATACAACATCCTTTCCTGATTAAAACTCTCCAGAGTATAGGGATAGAGGGAACATTCCTCAAGCTCATAAAATCCATCCATGAAAAACCCACAGCGAATATCCTCCTCAATGGGGAAAAGCTGAGAGCCTTTCCCTTAAGATCAGGAACACGTCAAGGGTGCCCACTCTCACCACTGTTGTTCAACATAGTACTAGAAGTCCTAGCAACAGCAATCAGACAACAAAAAGAAATAAAAGGTATTCAAATTGGCAAAGAAGAAGTCAAACTCTCTCTTTTCGCAGACGACATGATACTTTATGTGGAAAACCCAAAAGACTCCACCCCCAAATTACTAGAACTCATACAGCAATTCAGTAATGTGGCAGGATACAAAATCAATGCACAGAAATCTGTTGCTTTCTTATATACTAACCACGCAACTGTAGAAAGAGAAATTAGAGAAACGATTCCATTTACAATAGCACCAAAAACCATAAGATACCTCAGAATAAACCTAACCAAAGAGGTAAAGGATCCATACTCTAGGAACTACAGACCACTCATGAAAGAAATTGAAGAAGACACAAAAAGATGGAAAAATATTCCATGCTCATGGATCGGAAGAATAAACATTGTTAAAATGTCTATGCTACCCAGAGCAATCTATACCTTCAGTGCCATCCCGATCAAAATTCCAATGACATTTTTCAAAGTGCTGGAACAAACAATCCTAAAATTTGTATGGAATCAGAAAAGACCCCAAATCGCCAAGGAAATGTTGAAAAAGAAAAAGCTGGGGGCATCACGTTGCCCGATTTCAAGCTATATTACAAAGCTAGGATCACCAAGACAGCATGGTACTGGCACAAAAACAGACATACAGACCAATGGAACAGAATAGAGAACCCAGATATGGACCCTCAACTCTATGGTCAAATAATCTTTGACAAAGCAGGAAAAAACATGCAATGGAAAAAAGACAGTCTCTTCAATAAATGGTGCTGGGAAAATTGGACAGCCACATGCAGAAGAATGAAACTCGACCATTCTCTAACACCACTCACAAAGATAAACTCAAAGTGGATGAAAGACCTCAATGTGAGACAGGAATCCATCGAAATCCTAGAGGAGAACATAGGCAGTAGCCTCTTTGACATCAGCCACAGCAACTTCTTTCAAGATACATCTCCAAAAGCTAGTGAAACAAAAGCAAAAATGAACTTTTGGGACTTCATCAAGATAAAAAGCTTCTGCACAGCAAAGGAAACAGTGAGCAAAACAAAGAGGCAACCCACAGAATGGGAGAAGATATTTGCAAATGACACTAGATAAAGGGCTGGTATCCAAGATCTATAAAGAACTTCTCAAACTCAACACCCAAAAAACAAATAAGTCAAAAAGTGGGCAGAAGAGATGAACAGACACTTCTCTGAAGAAGACATACAAATGGCTAACAGACATATGAAAAAATGTCATCATCATTACCCGTCAGGGAAATCCAAATCGAAACCATACTGAGATACCACCTTACACCAGTTAGAATGGCAAAAATGGACAGGGAGAGAAACAACAAATGTTGGAGAGGTTGTGGAGAAAGGGGAACCCTCTTACACTGTTGGTGGGAATGCAAGTTGGTACAGCCACTTTGGAAAACAGTGTGGAGGTTCCTCAAAAATTTAAAAATAGAGCTACCCTATGACCCAGCAATTGCACTACTGGGTATTTACCCCAAAGACACAGATGTAGTGAAAAGAAGGGCCATATGCACCCCAATGTTCATAGCGGCAACATCTGCAATAGCCAAGCTGTGGAAAGAGCCGAGATGCCCTTCAACAGATGAATGGATAAAGAAGATTTGGTCCATATATACAATGGAATATTACTCAGCCATCAGAAAAGATGAATACCCAACTTTTCCATCAACATGGATGGGACTGGAGGAGATTATGCTAAGCGAAATAAGTCAAGCAGAGAAAGTCAAGTATCATATGGTTTCACTTATTTGTGGAACATAAGGAATAACATAGAGGACATTAGGAGAAGGAAGGGAAAAATGGGGGGGGGGAATTGGAGGGAGAGATGAACCATGAGAGATTATGGACCTGAGAAACAAATGGGGTTCTAGAGGGGAGGGGGGATTGGTTACCCCGGTGATGGGTATTAAGGAGGGCACGTATTGCATGGAGCACTGGGTGTTATACGAAACAATGGATCGTGGATCACTACATCAAAAACTAATGATGTATGGTGACTAACATAATATAATAAAATTAAAATCTACAAAAAAAAAGAGAAATGTTTATGAAATTAAAACCACTTAAGTAGTTATACTACTGCTACTGATTTATTAGCTGAAAAAATAGCTAGTTCTAGATTTTATTTAAATGAAATTCATTTTACTTTAATTCGAAAGCTAGTTTTTGACAGAGAAGGTTGATGATGATAATTGGTAGCTCCATTAATCTTGTACTTAAAAAATTTATATTGGACTTCTGAATTTGAAGAAGCCTAACTTTACTGGTTATTTTTCAGGGGAAAGTTAGACTGTTCATTGAACAGTAATATAATGCCACTCCTGTGGGGAGTGTGACAAGCACATGCTTCATTGTGGGGAAAGGCTGTGTGGCCATGTGGAGAGTGGGCCTAGTCCAGGCCTGGGAGGGTCCTGGGCAGAAGGGATATAGAAGCTCTTGGTAGATTAGGAGGTGGTAGCTAGTGAAGGGGGAGGGGGAGGGAGAGCAGGGTGTGTGTGGGGGGGATTCCAGGGAGAGAGTTATGTATGTACATACATTGAGGTCAGAGAGATGCTGACCCATTTGGGGGAATTTCCACTGGTTCCAGACAGCTGGAGTCTCGTTATGAAGCTGAAAATACAGTTGGAGATACAGTAGTGGCCAGATCATGAAAAACCATCTTTGCTGTGCTAGGTTTGAACTCTTCTCTGAAGATTGTGGAAAACTACAGAGGTTAGTAAAAATAATCACAGTGTCATTTTAGAAAGACCGTTTTAGAGACAGTGTGGGGCTGGTGGAATTGGAGGAGTAAGGCTGGAGGGAAAAACACCAGTAAGGAGACTACAGTTTCAAGCCAGGCAGTGGATAATGAGGATGTTCATTTAGTAAGGCAGGTCAGGCGTTGGAGAGAATAGACTCTATAAAACCTGGAGATAAGTTGGATGTGGGGGAAAAAGTGGGAGTTGACCAGTGACTCTCAAGGTTTATAGTTGATATTCTTAATTATGAAACAGAATCAGACAAGCAACAAAAAACCTCTTTATCTCCATGCATGTTCTATTCCAAATTTGCATAATCTACTTTATTCTCTAAATAGTTCTGAGATTCATTTCAGGTGATTATAAATTCATATTGGAGGAACAACTGGCCCACATGTTTTGGTTTATTTTAGTTTTTGCATATATTGCGGGGAAATGCTTCTCTAAAGAATAATTCTGTAGGCTTAGAGGCTCTTTTAAGCTTAATTATAAAGCTAATTTAATACACTATCCACTACGTATCATTAAAACGTTGAACTTGCCTCCTAAAATATTGTTTCTTTACTGTGGATTTAGTTGAGCCTTCTTAAGTTATAAGCAGACTCTTAATTTAAAATAATTTCAAATTTTGTTTGAGCATTCTGCTAGTAATGAACTGGTTTAGATTATGAAGTATTTGGTAGATTTAATTGCTGGCATCTTTGTCTCAGCTGGTGTTTTAGAACATTTTCTTGTTAGGAGAAAAAGGCATTCTTTTTCAGGTTCTAACTTCCCTGTAGGATTCGTCAGCTGTTTTCACTCAACAGTTACTGACCTCTTAGAGTATGCCAGGCATTGACCTAATACTCAAAGAAGATAAATTGACACTCTCTCTACTGTCATGTACTTAAAAGTCTTAACATTCTAAATATAATTCAAGAAAAAAAATCTATAATAAGTCTAAAAATGGACTTTGCTTACATACTATTTTGATAGCTAATATAAAATAAACTTTCTTCTTAAAAGTCCTTGTAACAACACAGACATTTCTCCCATATTGCATGGTGCATAACTAGATTTGTATGTACTAGGGTCATTTAGGGTGTATAGTCTGCATTGCACAGATTACTTTTGGTTATAACCACGTGCTAATTAGGAACCAGCATTTAAAAGGAAAAGGAAGGACTTCTGGTTTCTGGTTCTGCATGTAGGGAGCTTGGCAGTTGCCACTCCATCCTAACAAGTAAAAAGCTGAACAGACTGAAAAATCAACAACTCTTCTTGGATACATAAGAGAGGGGAAGACGTAGGGCTAGCAGCAGCTGTCAAGATTGGAGAGACAGATGGGTAACATACAGAGAGTTTAGGCATACTGGAGCAGACCTATAAGCAGAAACCAGTGAGGGAACCAGTACCTGGGTTGAAAAGCCTGAACTGTGCTGAATTTCAGGAGGCTCACTGTGGGCAGGTCTGAGAGTTAAAAACTCCAGGGGGACCCAATCATAGTGGGTCCTTACCATACAGTGAGATTATCTCCAGAAGTTAGACCAAGTTCCCACAGTAAATATCTGAGAAAAATCCCCTCAGCCTTCTGGCAGGAGCAGGGGAAAGGGAACCATCTTGAAATATGCCAGAGTACCCCATTTTTCTTAACAAAGCCTATTCTAAGGGGAAACTGGCTAACTAGAGCCTTACCTGCTGGGATATTATCAGAGTCTGTCTGGCCTGGGGAAGGGAAATAACCAGCTTTTGCTCACTCTAGCCATCCTGTCCCACCCAAGTGGAGAGGAACCCCCCCCGAGAAACCCTTGTGAAATTCACAGTCCAGAGGCCATGGCTCACTGAAAGACCAAGACCTAATCACAGGATGATAGAATGCTTCCCCTCCCTCCATCTCACCACCACATTACTGAAGGTTTATTTATAGCAGTTCTTTTTACCTAGTACATCATGTTCAACTATCAAGAAAATATTACAAGGCATACCAAAAGGCAAGAAGCACAATTTGGAGAGACAAATAAGTATCAGAACCAGCTATGGTGGTGATGTTGGAATTATCAGACGGGGGATTTTAAACAACTATGATTACTATGCTAAGAACTCTAATGGATAAAGTAAACACCATGCAAGAACAGGTGAACAATGTAAGCAGGGAGATAGAAGTCCTAAGAAAGAACCACAAAGAAATGCTGTAGTTAAAAAACACTGTAATAGAAGTGAAGAATGCCTTTCATGGGCTTATTAATGTACCGGACATAGCTGAGGAGAGAATCTCTGAGCTAGAAGAAATATCAGTAGAAACCTCCAAAACCCAAAAGCAAAGAAAACAAAGACTGAAAGAACCAGAATAACCAAGGGCTGTGTGACATCTACAAAGGTATAAAATACATGTAATGGGAATGCCAGAAGGGGAAGAAAGAGAGAAAGGAACAGAAGAAATACTTGAAACAGTAATGACTGAGAAGCTCCCCCAAATTAATCGCAGACACCAAACCATGGATCCAGGAAGCTCAGAGAACACTAGGCAGAATAAATGCCAAAAGCCTACACTGAGGCATATAATTGTCAAAGTACAGAAAATCAAAGTCAAAGAAAATAATCCTGAAAGAAGCCAGAGCAAAACAAAACAACAAAAAACCCCCCAAACCAACACCTTACCTATAGAGGAACAAAAGTAATCACATCCGACTTCTCAGAAACCATGCAAGCAAGAAGAGAGTCGAGTGTAATATTTGAAGTGTTGAGAGAAAAACCCCACCACCTTAGAATTCTGTATTCTGGGGGCGCCTGGGTGGCTCAGTAGGTTAAGCGGCTGCCTTCGGCCCAGGTCATGATCCCAGGGTCCTGGAATCGAGTCCTACATCAGCCTCCCTGCTCAGTGGAAAGTCTGCTTCTCCCTCTCCGTCTGCCTGCCTCTCTGCTTACTTGTGCTCTCTCTCTATCTCTGTCAAATAAATAAATAAAATCTAAAAAATAAAATAGGGGGAAAAGTTTAAAAAAAAAAAGAATTCTGTATTCTGCAAAATTATCCTTCAGAAGTAAAGGAGAAATAAAGATTTTCTCAGACAGACAAAAATTGACGGTATTTCTTGCTAGTAGATCTTCCCTGCAAGGAATATGGAAAGAAGTTTTTTAGAGAGAAGGAAAATATTAGAGGTCAGAAACTCAGATCTACATAGAGAAAGGAAGAACATCAAAGAAGGAATAACTAAAGGTAAAATAAAAACTTTTCTTCTTAATTGATGTAACAGCAGTTTGTTCAGAATACTAATAGTAACGCTGTATTTGATTATGCTTGTGTGTGTATGCTTATGTACCCTTATACATAAGTGAAATAGATGACAGCAATGTTCTCACACTACCCATGAAGTGGTATAGTGTTATTTGAAAGTAGACATGGAAGAATTGTAAATGTATGTTTCCTAACTCTAGGGTAGCCATTAAAAAAATAAAAAAAGAAATATAACTGATATGCTAAGAAAGGAAAGTGGAACCATACAAAATGTTCAGTTAAAGCCACAAAAGGCAAAAAAAAAAAAAAAAAAAAAAAAAGTGGAAGACAAAACTAGGAGCAAAAAACCAAGGCCAACAAATAGAAAACATTAATGAATATGGTAGATACTAATCCAGCTATCTCAGTGGAGATACTTTGAATGAGCACTTTGAATGTCAGTGGTCTAACTGTACAAATTGAAAGAGATCGTCAGAGTGGATCAAAAAATATGACACAACTATGTATTGTCTATAAGAAATCCACTTTAAATATAAAGGCATATAGATTTTTTTTTTATTTTTTTTTATTTTTTTTTTAAATTTTTTTTTTTTTTAAGATTTTATTTATTTATTCATGAGAGACAGAGACAGAGAGAGAGGCAGAGGGAGAAGCAGGCTCCCAAGGAGCAGGGAGCCCGATGCGGGGCTCGATCCCAGGACCCTGGGATCATGACCCGAGCCGAAGGCAGACGCTTAACCATCTGAGCCACCCAGGCGCCCCTTTTTAAATTTTTTTTTTTTTTTTAAGATTTTATTTATTTATTCATGAGAGACAGAGAGAGAGAGAGAGGCAGAGGGAGAAGCAGGCTCCCAAGGAGCAGGGAGCCCGATGCGGGGCTCGATCCCAGGACCCTGGGATAAAGGCATATAGATTAAAAGTAAATAGATGGAGAAAAATATACAATGCTAACAGTAATCAAAGGAAAATAGGAGCAGGGATATTGGTTGCAGACAAAGCAGACTTCAAATTAAGGGAAGTTTATCAGGGATGAAGGGCTTTGATAAAGGGGTCAGTTCTCCAAGAAGATATTGTAATTGTTAACATGTATACACCTAACAACAGCATCAAACTATGCGAGACAAAAACTGATAGAGCTATAAGGAAAAATAGATGAGTTTTACATTTATAGTTGGAGACTTCAACATCCCTCTCTCAGAAAGTGGACAGATCCAGCAGGCAGAAAATAAGTAAGGAAATAGTTAAACTCAACAACACTGTCAGTCAACTGGATATAATGGATATCTGTAGACTACTTCAACCACCACCAACAGAATACACATTTCTCTCAAGTTCATGGAACATTCATCAAGACCACATTCTGGGACATAAAACCCACCTTAACAAATTGAAAAGACTAGAAATCATTCAGTGTTTGTTTTCAGACTACAGTGGAGTTAAACTAGAAATCAGTAAAAGAAAGATAACTGGAAAATCCCCAAATATGTGGGGATTAAACAACATACTTCTACAATACTGCATGGTCAAAGAAGAAATCACAAGAGAAATTAAAAAAATATTTTCAACTAAATGAAAATGAAAATTGTGGGATATAGTGAAAGCAGAGCTTAGAGGGAAATTTATAGCATTGAATGCATATATTAGGAAAGAAGAAAAGTTTCCAACTTAGGAATTGAGAAAAAGAAAAGAAAATTAAATCCAGAATAAGTAGAAGAAAAGAAATAATAAGAATAAATCAAAGAAATTATAAACAGAAAATAGAAAAAACCCAATGAAACTAAAAGCTGGTTCTTTGAAAAAAGCAATAATACTGGTAAGTCTCTAGCTAGGCTATCTAAGGAAAAAAAGAGAAAGCACAAATTAATATCAGAGACAAAAGAGGGACATCACAACAAATCTCATGGAAATTAAAAGGATAATAAATGAATACTGTGAATAAATCTATGCACACAAATTTGATAACCTAGATGAAATTTCAAATTCCTTGAAAGACACAATCTGCCAAAACTCACAGAAGAAGAAACAGATGATCTGAATAGGCCTTTATTAAAGAAATTGAATCAACAATTAATAATCTTTAAAAACATGAAAGCACCAGGCCCAGATGGGTTCACTGTTGAATTCTACCAAACATTTAAGGAAGAAATTAGACCAGTTCTCCACAGTCTCTTTCAGAGGATAGAAGTAGAGCAAATGCTTCGTAACTCATTTTGTGAGGCCAGCATTACCCAAATATCAAAACCAAAGACAAAGACATTATAAGAAAACTATAGACCAATATCTTTCATGAACACAGATGCAAAAAATCCTCAACAAAAATTTAATCCAACAATTTGTGTAAAAAGAATTCTGTACCACAACCAAGTGAGATTTATCCCAGATATATAAGGTTGGTTCAACATTCAAAAATCAATTAATGTAATCCATCACATCAACAAACTAAAAAAGAAAAATCACATTATCTTACCAATAGATGCAGAAAAAACATTCACCAAAATCCACTACCTGTTCATGATAAAAACTCTCAGTAGACTAGGAATAGAGATGAACTTTCTCAACTTAATAAAGAATATCTATTTTAAAAAAAAAACCTGTAGGGGCGCCTGGGTGGCTCAGATGGTTAAGCCTCTGCCTTTGGCTCAGGTCATGATCTCCAGGTCCTGGGATTGAGCCCCATGTCGGGCTCCCAGCTCAGTGGGGAGTCTGCTTCTCCCTCTCCCTCTGCTTCTCCCCCTGCTTATGCTCTTTCTCTCTCAAATGAATAAATAACCCTAGAGCTAACATCTTAATATTGAGAGAGCTTTCCGACTAAGATCAGGTACAAAGAAGGCTATCCCCTCTCACATGTGACTCTTTTTGACATCAAACGAAGTTCTTGCTTAATGCAATTAGGCAAGAAAAGGAAATGAAAGGTATACAGATTGGGAAGGGAGACGTAAAACTGTCTGTGTTTGTAGATGACATGATTATCTATGTAGGAAATCCTAAAGATTTGACAGAAAAACTTTTCTGGAACTAATAAGTGTTTACAACAAGATTGCAGGGTACAAGGTTAATACACAGAAGTAAATCGCTTTGCTATATACAAGCAATGAAAAAGTGGAATTTGAAATTTAAAACAAAGCCATTTACCCCCCAAAATGAAATACTTCGGTACAAATCTAACAAAATATGTGTAAGATCTATATGAAGAAAACTAATAAACTCTGTGAATGAAATCCAAGAACTAAATAAATGGAGAGAGATCCCATGTTCATGAATAGGAAGATGCAGTATTATCAAGATGCTAATTCTTCTCAACTATCTATAGATTCGGTGCAGTTCCAATTAAAATCCCAGCAAGTTATTTTGTGGATATCAACAAAGTGATAGCAAAGTTTATGTGCAGAGCAAAACATCCAAATAGCCAACACAGTATTGAAGGAGAAGGACAAAGTTAAAAGGATTGACATTACTTGACTTCAAGACTTACAAACCTACAGTGCTCAAGACAGTGTGGTATTGGTGAAAGAACAGACAAGTAGGGCAATGGAACAGAATAGAGAACCTACAAATAGACCCCCACCAATATAGTTAACTGATCTTTGACAAAGAAGCAAAGCAATACAGTAGAGCAAAAATAGTCTCTTCAACATATGGTACTGGAACAACTGGACGTTCACATGCAAAAATGAATCTGGCATAGACCTTACACCTTTCACAAAAATTAACTCAAAATGGATTATAGACCTAAATATAGAATGCAAAACTATAAAACTCCTAGAACATGATATGGGAGAAAGCCTAGATGACCTTGGGTATGGTGGTGCCTTTTTAGATACAACGTTAAAGGCATGCATGACCTGTGAAAGAAATAATTGAGAAGTTGGGCCTCATGAAAATTAAAAACTTCTGCTTTGTGAAAAATAGTGTCACGAGAATTAGAAGACAAGCCATATACTGGGAGAAAATATTTGCAAAAGACACCTTTGATAAAGGACTGTTATCTGTAATATCTAAAGAACTCCTAAAACTCAGTGATAAGAAAACAACCTCATTAAGAAATGAGCCAAGGACCTTAACAGACACCTCACTAAAGAAGATACACTGGGGCGCCTGGGTGGCTCAGTTGGTTAAGCGACTTCCTTCGACTCAGGTCATGATCCTGGAGTTCCGGGATCGAGTCCCGCATCAGGCTCCCTGCTCAGCGGGGAGTCTGCTTCTCCCTCTGACCCTCCTCCCTCTCATGCTCTCTGTCTCTCATCCTCTGTCTCTCAAATAAATAAATAAAATCTTAAAAAAAAAAAAAAGAAGATACACTGATGGTAAATAAATATATGAAAAGATGCTGCATGTCATATGTCATCAGGGAAAGGCAAATTAAAACAAAAATGAGATACCACTGCATACCTATTAGATTAGCCAAAATTCTATTATTCATAATTGCCAAAATTTGGACACTACCCAGCTGTCCTTTAGTAGGTGAGTTCATAAACAAACTTTGGTATATCCAGACAGTGGAATATTATTCAGCACGAAAAAGAAATGAGCTATCAGGCCATGAAAAGGCATGAGGGAACCTGAAATGCATATTACTGAGTAGAAGAAGCCAATCTGAAAAGGCTACATGTTATATGAATCAACCATATGACATCTAAAAAAGGCAAAACTATGGAGACTATAAAAGATCAATTGTGTGGGGAAGGAGGAAGGGATGAATAGCTGGAGTACAGAGGGTTTTGGGGCAGTAAAAATACTGTTTGATATTATGATATATGTCATTATACATTCATCCAAGGGCATAAAATGGACAGCACCAGGAATGGACCCTATGGTAAACTGTGGACTTTGGATGATTATAGTGTGTCAATGCAGGTTCATGCTTGGTAAATAAATGTGCCACCGTGGTGTGGGATGTTGGTAGTGGGGGAGGCTGTGCGTGCGTTGGGGCTGGGTGTATATGGGACATCTCTGTCCCTTCCTCTCAATTTTGTTGTGAACCTAAAACTGCTCTATTAAAACAGGTCTTTAAAAAAAAGATAAAAGGAAAAGGAGTGTCAGCTGGCAGCTCTGATGTTTGAGTGGCTCAGTGCATTGCATAGCATGGCCATATGTTGCAAAATGATAAAGTATGAAAGACATTGCTGATTTAATGATAAAGTTGGTGGTAATAGGTAAAGAGGGACTATTCTTGAAAATAAGCTAGAGCTAAAACTGGATATTTAGATTTTATCGCTAGTTTAAAATGATTTGATTATTGGAATTCCTGTGTGAAAAATTACTTTGTTATTGCAAACTTTGCCTAAATTGCTTTTATAATAGACTCTAATGCAGTTGATTTTAAAATATACATCTTTGTTTCTTAGGACCAGAATTCACATAAATAGATTCTACTTTTAGAATCACTGATCTCTTTAGAGATACTGCAAATCTATTAATTTTTGAATTTAGATGCTGTTAGGAAATGAAATGGCTGGTGGTTATGAAAATGTATTTGAGAAATAGATTTGAGGACTCACATTGTGATGTTCTTAAGCTCTGCTCTCACACCTACCCAATAATATGTCCTCAGCCAGTGGGAGGTAGAATTAGTGTACCATGAGGCAGTATTATATAGTGATTAAGACTCTGAGTTTAAATCAGACAGACTTGAGTACAAATATCCTCCTACCACTAACTAGTTATCCAAACATTACAGCATATCATTTTCATTGCTGAACTCCAGTTCTTTATCTATAAAAACGGGGCTCATCGTAGCTTTTATGAATATTATGGTGGAGAGTAAATAAGAAAATGTACATCAAGCCATTAGCGCAGTGCTAAATAAATAGTAGGCACTAGGAAATGGTACACATTGTGGTGGTCACTATTCCTAGGTTAAGATTTTTTAAAGTATTGTGGAAACAGTTTAACTCTATGTCCTTACATTTGGAATTTAATTATGTCTCTAACTATGTAAATCAGATGAAGATGGGAGAGGGCACTGTGATTTTTACATAATAGTTCAGTAGTTATGTAGGAAAATCAATTCATAAAAACAAAATTTGCTTTGTGTATGATGCGGAAAATCATGATAAAAGCTGGAGGAATAACTTATAACTATAGTGAACTAGCATTAAAAAAATACCAGGCCTGTACAGAATATTTAAATTTTATTTACTCTTTACCTAATACAAATCTGTGTTGTAGCCAATATAAAGTTCATATTTAAAAAAATTGTTTTCATACATTCCGAGAAGGATATTTTGTTTTTGATTTATATTATACCCATTTGTTTTCCGACAGGATAGGCAAAGGTTAAGAGAAATACAATTATGACTCAGTTGTAGTTTTAATAATTATTCTAATAAATTCAACAGAAAGATGTGGGATATAAAATTGTAGTTCCTTCATAATTTTAGTTATGAAAATTTACATATCAAAAGGAGACTAAAGGAAATAATATAAAAATGGTAGTAACCATGGAATTTCTACTGAGCTTTTTGGCAACCAAGGGAAAAAGGGAAATAAGGGAGATTGTAGTTTTCACAGATTAATATGTTCATCAGGAGAAAATTCTCTTTCTTCCTGGCACTGAATTATATAGGTGAAGTCACCATGTGTTTAAATTATATATAGGTGAAGTGTGTTGAATGATACCATGGTGTCTTCAACTGTGGGTTTTTTTTGTTTTTCAACTACAGTTTTAAAGAAAGAATAAAAATGTTTGACTACTTAAACAGCCCTAAGTATAGTGAAGGTTTGACACTTAATTGTAATATGGTGAAAGCCTTTCTCTTCTAACAGTTAATATATGCCAGGTAAAGACTTCCTGGCGCTCTAGGTGCTAACAGCTTGGAACCTAGGTACCTAATGTCATCTTCAGACTGCCTCTTTCAAGCCCTGTGTAGCTTTCTCAGGAACTGGAAAGCAGTTTTTCAGTGTTATGGTTGGTGCCAAAGTATAGCTTTCATGGTCATTGACAAGAGAATAAAATAAGTATTCCTTTTTTTTTTTAATTTAATCTAATTTTATTATGTTATGTTAGTCACCATATAGTACATCATTAGTTTTTGATGTAGTGTTCCATGATTCATTGTTTGCGCATAACACCCAGTGCTCCATTCAGTACTTGCCCTCTTTAATACCCATCACCAGGCTAACTCATCCCCCGACCCCCTCCCCTCTAAAACCCTCAGTTTGTTTCTCAGAGTCCATAGTCTCTCATGGTTCATCTCTCCCTCCGATTTCCCCCCCTTCATTTTTCCCTTCCGTCTTCCAATGTCCTCCATGCTATTCCTTATGTTCCACAAATAAGTGAAACCATATGATAATTGACTTTCTCTGCCTGACTTATTTCACTTTGCATAATCTCCTCCAGTCCCATCCATGTTGATGTAAAAGTTGGGTATTTATCTTTTCTGATGGCTGAGTAATATTCCATTGTATTTATGGATCACATCTTCTTTATCCATTAGTCTGTTGAAGGGCATCTCGGCTCTTTCCACAGTTTGGCTATTGCAGATGTTGCCACTATGAACATTGGGGTGCATATGGCCCTTCTTTTCACTACATCTGTGTCTTTGGGGTAAATACCCAATAGTGCAATTGCTGGGTCATAGTGAAGCTCTATTTTTAATTTTTTGAGGAACCTCCACACTGTTTTCCAAAGTGGCTGTAACCAACTTGCATTCCCACCACATGAAAAGATGTTCATCATCATTAGCCATCAGGGAAATTTAAATCTTTTTTTTTTTTAAAAGATTTTATTTATTTATTTTAGAGACAGCCTGCATTTGATCAAGTGGGTGGGGGGAGGCACAGAGGGAGAGGGAGAGAGAGCCTGAAGCAGACACCCTGCTGAGCATGGAGCCCCACACTGGCTCAATCTCACAACCCCGAGATTATGACCTGAGCTGAAATCACGAGTTGGACACTTAACTGACTTGAGCTACCCAGGCACCCCTCTTTTTTTTTTTTTTTTTTTAAGATTTATTTATTTTAGAAGAACGCGTGTGCGTGTGCACCCATGGGAGGAAGGGCAGAGGGAGAGAGTCTCAAGCAGACTCCCCAATGAGCATGGAGCCTCACCCAGGACTCAACCCCACCATCCTGAGATTATGACCTGAGCTGAAACCAAGGGTCAGATGCTTAACTGACTGAGCCACCCAGGTGCCCCTTAAAATAGGTATTTCTTAATCAGATGTCAATGCTTTCTCAGCATGCAACATGGTCGCTTTTGTGAGCTATTTTGTACTTGGATTTTTTAAAAGGGGAGTAGGTCTTTGGACTTTCTTTTTTCAGTTTCAGAGATTTAGAATCCCAAATGATTTAAATTGTGGATGAAGTTAAAGAGAAAATATACTTCTCAAATTTTGCTTCGTAGTAGAAGTAAAGATTTAATGTCAAACTCCTGCGGATTGCTGGTACAAATTGGGCACTTTCTCAGCAAATTATAAGTTGAATTTTATTCTTGTATTGATCTTCAGGGACAGAGAACAAGACCGACTCAATACTTAGATTAATTCACTTAAAATAACTCTTCTTGAGTCCTTTGTTATGGATACATTATAATCCCTTGAAGTAAAATCCATAATTATTTTACCTTTTGCCTGACAGTAATGTTACCTTAACCTGAAGAAATTATTCAGACCCTCTTACTATTTTCTAATGTATAATATTAGGAACAGTGGCTGCTTTTCACACCTTTTAGGGGCCAGGCAGCTTCACAGTATTAAAGAGAATAAGATCTGAGCCCTGTCCAGGCCATTTGCTCACTTTGTCCTTGAGCATGTTATTGGAAGTTTTCTGAGGCTCCATTCGATCCGCTGTAAATGGAGATAACGCTCACCTCACATGGATGCTGTAAACATAGGTAATGTGTGGGCATACCTACAAGTATGTTTCCGCGATGGCTGTAATAATGTGTGGAATGTGGCAACCGTCCTGTGTTCCCAGCCCCAGGCACTTGGTGCCAGGACTTCCCTATGGCTGGGGGTCACAGGGAATTCACAGGCAGGCTTGCGTGAATCTTGGGAATATGTTAATTGACTACATGTTGCCATTTGACATGAGGGAACCAGACTGTATGTAACATTTTATAAGCCAAGTTCAAAGGAGTAGATGTTTGCCAAAGCTTTTTGTAAGGCTAGGTCCTTTTTCTACAGTTAGTATCTTTTTCAGTTGGGCCTCAGGTCAGCTCTCTCTGATATTTTAACAACTCATATGCCATTGCAAACATAGTAATTTCAGGAAAGCCTGAAGAGGAGACTTGATTCTTCTTTCCATGTGTCCCATTTGGGCTCTTCTCCTATTAGACTTTTGGCACTTGTAGAATATTTTAAAAAGTCCCTGCTATGAAAAGGAAAGAGCCTACAAGACCTACAGGTTAGGCTCACAAAGTTCCATCTGGGGCTCTTGATGTACACATCCTCAGTTGAACCCCTTATGTGTGCTCTTGTCCTTTGTCTGAATCTTAAATTGCATAAACTTTACTTAGCAGACACAAAGGAAGCCCTGTGTTTTCTGCATTCCAGGCACTAAGGTTGTGAAGAAGAAGCGGATGCCTCAGGGCCACTTTGTATGTGGGAAAAGATGAGAATATAGTAGGGTGTGCCATCCGTAGTAAAGACCTTTGAGCAGGAAAAACAAAGGAGCGGAAAACCAGTGGGCAGGAAGCCATGGTTGGACATGTTTTTAAATTTTCTGCCAGGACAACTCATCTTTGCTCTGTTTTAATATTCCTTCTACTTTGGCCCTTACTTCAACGATGTCTTTTTTTGTGAAGAAATCAGTTATCTTTTTCATCTCCAAGTATTCACTCTCATCCTCTAAATATCAGTTAAACCTGGTATGGGAAGTGAACCACCCTTCATGTCTCTGTAAGGGGTGGAGCAGATGGGAGCCTTTGTGTGTGACCAGATCCAACCAGACCCTTTTCCATCCTTGGCAGTTCAGAGCACTGAGCTCTGGAAGGCTTTGCTCTGTTCTCTTGTGATTTGTCTTGAAAACTTATGTTTAGAACATGATCCTTCCCATTGGTCCTTTATTGAAAGGGATCACAGCTTTTTATAATTGAAGGGTGGCATGGTGTCTTTAGGTACACTTTTTAAATGTTTTTTAAAAAATCACTCTCAGAGGGGAGGAAAAATAATTTCCCTTCTACCCTTCTGAGTTCTTAGCTGAGACCCTGTAATAAATGACAGATTAACATGAAAAAAAGTGTTGATTAACATGTATACCTCATACACATGGGAGATACCCAGGAAAAAATGGGTAACTTAAAGATGTAGCTGTAGAATTTAGGATTATATTCCATCTTAACAGGGAAAAAGGAGTGGGGGTGTAGGCCTCTTACAGAGAATAAGTGATTTTTAGGAATGATGGATGGGCCCATAGAAGAATAGTTGAGAGATAATGAGATTGTGACACGGTCTGTCTAGTCGGACTGGGTGTGGTGTGGACTTCAAGACTTCTTTTGTGATAAGAGTCCGTCCTCCCTGGTTGATGAAACTCCCAGGGAGGGGACTTAGATAATTGAGTTCCTTTTGGAGGACCTGTCTTTTTTTAGGTAGATAAGGGAAGTTCAGAGAAAGCCTCTCCTTGCACTTGACTATTTTCAGGTGTCTACAGCTCAAAATAGTACACTTTTGAAAGTGGCATATTTTGGGGTGGCATATTCTGCTGATCCTTTACACTAAACAATCTGACTTTTAAAATTAGAATATTTGAAGGCCCTCTTGGAATGAAGCATGTCTAATTTCAGGCTTAATTTCTTAGACATATATAGGAAAAAATATATATATATATAAAAAATCTGGAAATTTTATAGTAAGTGTTATACTCTACCCCTCATCTCTCCCTCCCCCCACCACAACAACAGCACAACACAACACATCAAACTTATGCAGTCACACATACTCATACTCCCTAGTTGCCGGCCTCCCCAGAGTGGTGGCATTTATAGTGACCATAAACTCTTCTTTTTTTCCTAATAAAATTTATAGATGGTTTCCCTTTTTTGCCCTTGCATGAGTTAGACAGAACTACTTCCTTACTGTTGGTTGAAAATAAGATCCCCATCCATTGTCCAGATTACATTAGGGTAGCTCCTAGTTGACACAGAAATATATTACGTGTTTTAATATGACACCCATAATTAATAAGTCAGTGATAAGAACTTTCGTGTAAGGGTAAAAAAAGCACATAAATCATTTTCATGCTATAGGAGGTTTCAGTCAGTCCCATAGTATTTTCAGTCCTAGTTTATCTTCTTGAGACTTCTGGGGGTCTCTGACCCCTCACTTACACTAGTCCACAGAACTCCCTCTGGTTCCTGTTCCAAATGCTTCTTCCTTTTCTCAGTCTTCCTTCATATCTTTGATAGCTTTGGACTAAGTCCATGTTAGTGGAGGTAGAGCAACACAGTAAAATCCTTGGACCACCTCTCTCCCCTTTCTCTGGACCTCTGCGGGGAAAGGTAGGGTCACATTACTGGTCGATGCTTGTGGCCCACAGGTCATTTCCTGGAGGTACTTAGGGAGAGGTTGGATGTCACCTGATGAGAGGAGATGACACTGGGCCTGTGTGTGCCCGCTGCTCGTCCCCGGCAGGTGCCCTCATCCCACAGCCTCTGGAACCCTCATGTCCATGAGGGCGTGCAGCCAGAATGTAAATCCAAGTCTCTATCCAAAACTCATGCTCTTTCCTTTTCACAGCAGGGACTTTTAAAAATATTCTTTACAAAATCTCTTCTTTTGTTCAAAAACAAAAGTTTGGGCAAGTCATTCACAGGAAAATAGGAAAGAGATGATTTTTTCCCCTTGGAATTAACAGTGAAACCTGTATGTAATTTAGAGCTAAGTATACACATATTCTGGGTGGGTGTTCATTTCCTAAAGGAGAATGTGATCTAAAAGGTTTGGAGACCACTGCTCTAAGCCCCAGTTGCCCCACCTGTACAACGAGAATACTACTTCTCTGCTCTTGGAGTTGTTTGTGGATTCAGTATGACCATCTTTGTGAAGGTTTTAGACTGTGTTGGTGCAGAGAAAGTGCTCAGTAACAAGAAGCTTCGTTACATGTTGTGAATCTTGATGGTATTTTCAGTGATTTATTTTCATCCTGAGGTAGAGATATTTAATATTCACTAGTATCAGGAAATGTGTTTTTCATGTATCAGTCCACTTACTTGGAATCCTACTTCAGTTGGTTTTGAACCTCTTAGATTGGGAAAGTGTCACTGCAGTAAACAAAACTTGTACCCAGACAGGGAGGTAGACACTGCCTTGTAATGAGAATCACCTATTTGTGTGTGTAATGACTTACGTATATGGTAAAGAGAGTGCTTAAAATTCATACAGTACAGGTACTTTTCAAATCTGGAAAAGATTAGTTTTATGGAGCTATTTTACTAATTTTTAGATGTTAAAGTAAGTATAGATGACATGGTATATCGTGCTTTGATTTTGAAAGAGAATCTTTGTTGTTTAAATTCTAATATACCTTGTTATTTTATTCCTGCTGTTTTAGGGAATACCTTGGTAAACAGCTCCAATCTGAGCAGCCCCAGACCGCTGCTGCCCGAAGCTGAACGTGCCCTCCAGCCTCAGAATCTCCACTCTTCATGTTTTACCTGGGACAGAGTACCTGGAGTATGAATCTCAGTAGTTAGGGTCAGGAGCAAATAATTGTCCATTTTACTTAAAGTTTTCTTCTGTTGTGTCGCTTTTCCCTATGCTGATTTTCGTTGAACGTGTTTGCCCACTAAGCTGTATAAAAGTAGGTGTTTTCTGTTGCTAAGGAAATGATTAACTGTTAAATACACCGCTTGTAATTTCTATATTTATTGTTCTCTGGAAATGAGTATAGTTATTAAAGGATTCTCACTTCAAAAGGTTTTGCTCTTGTTCCTCACTCGAACTTTAACAAAAATCATCTATTTTCCTAGCCTAATTGAGAGAATTATTGCAAAGTAGTGAATGGTAAGTAAATGTTTTCAAATTCTACGTATCTGTATACATCCATCTACCCATCCATCCACCCATCCGTTCATGCACATGTACACATTGTAGCGATCCTCTGCTAATATTTAAAGAACTTTAACATTTTAAAGAAATTTTTAATGTAATGCTGTCGTCCAAAAGATTTGCCTGTGGAGCTCAGTAAAGAATTTTAGCTTTAGATTATTTTATTTCATTGATTTCCTTTACTTTCCTTCTTGGATTTTAGGAGCTCAAGTCTGTTTTCTTTTAATACTTTTTGGTTTCAATATTGCCAGTAGGTATTTATTTCTGTCCCCTTTCCTCTTTACTCTGGAACTACAGGCCTCGGCAGGCCATGCGTGGCATGCACAGCCCCCCTCCCCCCGCCCCCAAATCTGAGCCTTTTGTCTTTATTTATTTATTTGTTTATTCTTTTGTGTTTATTCTTTTTTATTATTATGTTCAGTTAGCCAACGTATAGTACATCATTAGTTTTTGATGTGTAGTGTTCAACGATTGAATATTGTTTTATTTTCAGCATAGAGATCCTATGGGAAAAGTTATTTGAGATAATGGATGTTTTTCTTTGTTAGTGACTTCATGTTACTGAATGGTTTCTTTTAAAGACTTGACTTCATATTTGCCAAGAAAATAGGAAATCTGGGGGTGCCTGGATGGCTCTGTCAGTTGAGCGGCTGCCTTCGGCTCAGGTCATGATCCCAGGGTACTGGGATCGAGCCCTGCATCGGGCTCCCTGCTCAGCGGAGAGCCTGCTTCTCCTTCTCCCTCTGTCTGCCGCTCTGCCTACCTGTGCTCTCTATCGCTGTTAAATAAATAAAAATCTTAAAAAAAAAAAAAATAGGAAGTCTGATCAAACCAGTTTTCTTTCTTTCTTTCTCTTTCTTTCTTTCTTTCTTTCTTTCTTTCTTTCTTTCTTTCTTTCTTTCTTTTTCTTTCTTTCTTTCTCTCTTTCTTTTTCTTTCTTTCCTTCTTTCTTTTTCTTCTTTCTTTCTCTCTCTCTTCTTTCCTTCCTTCCTTTCTTTCTCTCTCTCCCTCCCTCCCTCCCTCTCTTTCTTTCTTTTAACATTTTATTCATTTATGTGAGAGAGAGAGAGAACATGAGCAGGAGGAGAGGGGCAGAGGGAGAAGAAGAAGAAGCAGACTCCCTGTTGAGCAGGGAGCCCGATGCAGGGCTCAATCCCAGGACCATGAGATCATGACCTGAGCCGAAGGCAGACGCTTAACCAATTGAGTCACTCAGGTGTCCCAAGCCAATTTTTTCTTGACTAAAAGTTTTCTAAATTGCTTAGATCTAGATATTTTTACTTCTCAAAACAGAAAAACAAGAGACAGAACTTTTCTCTGTGGTAATTACAGATTCTGCATTAGCAGAGGATCAGTTTTCATGTTAATGTAATGCTCTGTAAGGTTATTAGGTTGTCTAAGATACTCAATTTCAAGTTGAGAGTGCAGTTTTCTGAATTTCATAAGAGCACAGTGTTCGATGTCATTCTGATTTTAGTTTCATTTTGCATAAATTCTAAAGTAAATTTGAATGACATTCTGATGGAAATTATTAATGCTTTAATTCCTGAGAAATGCTTTTGGACATGGGAAGTAGTACTCCCATGTCCTCATATTTTAATTATTATCCTGTATATTAAAATTATCTCTAGGTACCTTTTTCTCCTTCAAATCTTTCCATTCAGCTTATAGAACTTATTTCTAAGAATTACAAAAACAATTTTTTTCTTTGCTTAATGCTTTTTTTTTTTTTTTAAAGATTTTATTTATTTACTTGAGAGAGAGAGAATGAGAGAGAACACATGAGAGGGGATAGGGTCAGAGGACGAAGCAGACTCCCCGCCGAGCAGGGAGCCCAATGCGGGACTCGATCCCGGGACTTCAGGATCATGACCTGAGCTGAAGGCAGTTGCTTAACCAACTGAGCCACCCAGGCGCCCTACTTAATGCTTTTAACATTCAATGACTAAATCCGCCTAAAATTTTAATACCACTTGATGTTCAACTAAACTGCAATCACCTGACAGAGTAGACTTATACATTTGACAAACAGATAGTAGTTAAAGCTTATAAATCTAATCAGGCATACGTTTAGTAGAGACAATTTTGTTAAGCATTTTAAAAACATCTTTAAAAGCCTAAACAAAGAGCACAATGATTACAAAATTTGTTAATCCATCTAAATAAACAGAATTTATACAGTGTCATCAACTACAGGATTAAATAATTTCATCAGTTTCGCTGTACTTATTTATATGTATTTTTTTAAATTTTATTTTATTATGTTATGTTAATCACCATACATTACATCATTAGTTTTTGATGTAGTGTTCCATGATTCATTGTTTGCATATAGCACCCAGTGCTCCATTCAGTACGTGCCCTCTTTAATACCCATCACCAGGCTAACCCCTCCCCCCAACCCTCTCCCCACTAGAACCCTCAGTTTGTTTCTCAGAGTTCATAGTCTCTCAGGTTCATCTCACCCTCCGATTCCCGCCCCCTTCATTTATCCCTTCCTACTTTTTTTTTTTAACATATAATGTATTATTTGTTTCAGAGGTACAGGTCTGTGATTCAACAGTCTTACACAATTCACAGTGCTCACCATAGCACATACTCTCCCCACTGTCTTATCACCCAGCCACCTCATCCCTCCCACCCCCCACCACTCCAGCAACCCAGTTTGTTTCCTGACATTAGGAATTCCTCATATCAGTGAGATCATACGATACATGTCTCTGATTGACTTATTTCACTTCGCATAATACCCTCCAGTTCTATCCACGTCGTTGCAAATGGCAAGATCTCATTCCTTTTGATGGCTGCATAATATTCCATTGTATATATATACCACATCTTCTTTATCCATTCATCTGTCGATGGACATCTTGGCTCTTTCCACAGTTTGGCTATTGTGGACATCGCTGCTATAAACATCGGGGTGCACGTACCCTTTCAGATCCCTACTTTTGTATCTTTGGGGTAAATACCCAGTAGTGCAATTGCTGGATTATATGGTAGCTCTATTTTCAACTTTTTGAGGAACCTCCATACTGTTTTCCAGAGTGGTTGCACCAGCTTGCATTCCCACCAACACTGTAGGAGGGTTCCCCTTTCTCCGCATCCTTGCCAACATCTGTTGTTTCCTGACTTGTTAATTTTAGCCATTCTGCATGGTGTGAGGTGGTATCTCATTGAGGTTTTGATTTGGATTTCCCTGATGCCGAGTGATGTTGAGCACTTTTTCATGTGTCTATTGGCCATTTGGATGTTTTCTTTGGAAAAATGTCTGTTCATGTCTTCTGCCCATTTCCTGATTGGATTCTTTGTTCTTTGGGTGTTGAGTTTGATAAGTTCTTTATAGATTTTGGATACTAGTCCTTTATCTGATATGTCATTTGCAAATATCTTCTGCCATTCTGTCGGTTGTCTTTTGGTTTTCTTGATGGTTTCCTTTGTGTGCAAAAGGTTTTTATCTTGATGAAGTCCCAATAGTTCATTTTTGCCCTTGCTTCCTTTGCCTTTGGTGATGTTTCTAGGAAGAAGTTGCTGCGGCTGGGATCGAAGATGTTGCTGCCTGTGTCCTCCTTTAGGATTTTGATGGATTCCTATCTCACATTTAGGTCTTTCAACCATTTTGAGTCTATTTTTGTGTGTGGTGTAAGGAAATGGTCCAGTTTCATTCTTCTGCATGTGGCTATCCAATTTTCCCAACACCATTTGTTGAAGAGACTGTCTTTT